ATTATCACTTTTGGAAAATTCTTAGCCAATATTATTTCCGAGATTTACTCTGCTCTGTTCACTATTTCCTTTCACTCCAGGTTACTACATACATGTTGTTACACCTTTTGGTATTGTCTCACAAATATTGACTGTTTTTTCTCTTCAATGTTTATATTTCATTCTTTTTCTCCTTACAATTCATTTTGGGAAGCTTCTAGTGCTCTACTTTTACGTTTACTGATTCTGTTTTTAGCTGTGTCGAGTAGTGATGACCTCATATGAGACTTTCTCCTACTATAGTGGCTTTGATTTATAGTATCTTCATTTCATTCTATCTTAGAATTTACTTGTCTGCTTAAATTATCTACTTGTTCTTTTGTGTCATCTACTTTCTCACTTGAGTCCTTACTATTTTACTCACAATTAAATTCCATTTCTGGTCATTTCAATATCTATGTCACGTCTAACACTTGTCCTGATGATAGCTCTAACTCTTTAGATTGGCTTTCCTTGCCTTTATCATGCCTTGTAATTTTTCATTGAAAACAGACACTGTGGTGAGATACGTAAGACTTTAATGCAATCATTTATGTTCAATTGGGTAGGAGTGAGCTATGTTTAATATTTGCTATACCTGTAGATGCCAGAGCCTTCAAATTCCTGTAGTGTCATTATTTGGTCACCTCTTGAAATTGTACTCCTTTAAGTATTCCCACTAAGATTGTACAGATCTTTCAACTATAATCCATTATTATTATACTAGTATCTTGGTAAGCTATAAAGAAGAAATGCATTCTATAATCCTCTAGTTCAGTTAGGTTTACATCATTTATAGACCTGTGTGCTGTCCCTGTGCCTGTTATATTCACAAGTACTTCTCCAGTGGGAAACCTTTTTTTCTAATCTATCCTCTATTCCTTTCCCTGGATACAATATTCTCATTTTATTTCTTTGCAGCCTTGACCCCTAGCAACTATAATTTTTCCTCCTGCATGAAAAAGGAGAGCTAAATGAGGTAAGAGTAAGATAAATTCCTTTTCTAAACCTGGAATAAGAGCTTGGCAAAGTCCTTTCCCTAGAGAGAATCCTTTAGTATGGAGAAGACTCTGGGTGTATATTACAGTGATTCCTTTTCCCTCCACCTGCAAAAAGTATAAGGGGAATCTTTTCAGGTCTTTGCTGTGAGCAACTGGTAGAGGTCTAGAGGTAAATAAAGCCCATGAAACACTGTAGCTACGAGAAGTTTCTCACTGCCACACTCATTCACGGTTAACTTCTAGCATTTCTAGGAGTTCAAAATTACCATTTAAGTGTTCCCACCATTTTATGACTGGTTTCCTGCTCCATGCAAACCATTTCTTTCCAGCTGTACCTTCCTGTCTCTCCAAATTTTAGAGAAATGTTTACTCTGTGAACTTAGTTCTCTATTGGGACCAAGAAAATCATTAACTTTCAGTTAGTCAGCTTTTTCTTGTTATAAGAAGAGAAGCTTGTGATTTCTAAGCTCTTAAAATATTGAGGTGGAACCAGGTACATAGCTCAGCAGCATAGTGTGCCTGCCCAGTAAGTGTGAGGTTGTGAGTTTGATTCCTGTTACAAAAAACAAAACAAAACAAAACTACCAGCTACCATAAAGCTAACTTTTAGCTTGCCATGGTGGCACCTACCGGTAATCCCACTCAGGAGGCTGAGACAAAGAGGATCATTGTGAGTTAGAGACCGGCCTGAGTTGCATAGTGAGACTTTTGTCTCAAAAGGACAAAAAATATTGAGGTGAAAGTGGGAGACACTCTACTCATTTTTAAAAATTCTTTCTCCCTCCTATTGATTAGGTTGGATAAATTCTACTGATCTATCTTTCAAGTTCACTGAATTCCTATTCTATTCTCCCCATTCTGCTATTAAGCCCATTTAGTGAGTTTTTATTTCAGTTATTATATTTTTCCATTCTAAAATGTCCTCTTGATATTTCTTTATACCTTCTATTTCTTTGTTATAACCTTCTGTTATAATCTTTGTTATTACTGTCTGTTTTCAAACATTATATCTCATTTCAAGAGTGTTTGAGATTACTTCTTAAAGGACCTTTATAGGAGCTGTTTTGAAGCTTTTGTCATATTACTGGCCTATCAGTGTCATCTTTGAGTTGGCATCCTTTGTTTTTCCCAGAGGAGCTCACCCTTCTCAACTTTGAATGCTAAATAATTTTAAATCATATCTGGACATTTTAAATATTATTTTATTATGAAACTCTAGGACTTTAATAAACCCTATGAGGAATACTGGTATTTTGTTTCATCATGCAAATCAACCCAGTTAAATTTAGGCAGCAAGTTCCAAATTAGTTCTTGTAGGGTACAGTTTTGATCTTAGTTCAGCATTCCAAGCCTTTACAATACTATTTCCATTTGTACTGCATGGTGCTATCTAATGGCCATCCTGGCATCTGGGCTACATTATTAGCCTACCTGCTACATTATTTCTCTAAATATTCTGTATAATACTTGGAAGCAAAGCCATATAAACACAAATCACAGGTGAGCACTGGCATTGATAAATTGTTTCACAAGAACCATTTTCCAAAGCTCCTTCCTCTACATAATCTTTCAAGTAGTTTCTGGTACTGGGAACTCCTAGAAAATAGTTCTGTCCTCCTGCCAGAAAGTTAGGAATTTTAGTTACTCTAATCTATAGAGGCTTTCTCTGTTAGGCACATTTTTTTTAAGACCACAGCTCTACAGATCAGAGGAGAGTTCACCTCTCTAAAAATTTTGACTGTCATACACACCCTACTACCACAGAATTATATTAAGACTAGGGTGTAAGACAATAGAAGATTTTAAAAAGAAAAAAGAGTGATCTCCATTATCTCTGAATGTTAGGAATACCTCCCCTGATTCTCAGTCCAAGAGGAGAAGGTTTCTCCTAAAGCTGTCTTTGTACCATAACAGCCATTTCTGGATTTGGGGCTACACTGAGTCCAAGCCAGTGAGTGAAACAGTAGCTTGTCTGGTGACATTTTTCTTTTTCTCCATCTACTACTATTTATTTGTTAAATTCCTTGAGTAACTGTTCCATGCATCCCATTCAGGTTTTGTAATGCACACAGTGGGACAGCGCATTGTGTGTTTAAATCATCTTAATAGGAACAAGAGTTTATCATATATTTAAAAAAGTAGAAGCGCTGATAATTTTAATAACTGCAGTTTGTGGAGAGCAAAGGAGGTAACAAACATTAAAGTGTGCAACAAATGTTAGATGTTATTACTGTTATTAGTTGCTAATGATGATACAAAGCTGAGAAGATACACAGGAAGCAGTAGAAGGAGGCAAAAGAGAGGTGCTTCTGGTATTATGTATTTCGCACTTCAGTAGTTCATAATTACATACTACATTTGCTTTGGCCATGAAATGTCGCATCCATGTGAACAGTACATCATGCAACAAATAGTTGCAGGCAACAGCAATGTGTTATGCATGATTCTCCGTAATAAAGTAGCTAAGAGTCTTCAGAGACACATTTTTTCTTTTTTGTTTTCTTGAACAAAGATAAGGGAAGAAAGCACCTGTGTGTCACCACCTGGAGGCATATGTAAACTTAATGAAGATAGACATGGAAGAGGAGAAGTCTTTATTCCTGCTTGGTCTGCCTCCAGCCATGACAAGGTTATGTCCATTCTTTTTGCTGCAAATTCATCCATCTATCCCAGGGTTGTCATTTTAACAATAAGAAATTTTTATTATTTCTCTATTAGCCATGTTTAAGTGTTATGGGACAGCACTAGTAGATTGTAAGTGGTGGGTGGTAGCATTGTGGGAATGAATCTAGACCTTCTACTTAGTACATTCCTAAGAAAAAGCATCTTTTACATGTCTTTTGGTTATGTATTGGATTTTCCTGCAGTACAATTTTGACACGCAATGTGGTTCTCTGTACTAAGACTCAATGCCATATAACAGCCTGTATATTCCATCTAAGGACTCCAAAGCAGAGGAAGTTGGCATCCTTTTCACAACAGCTGAGCTTGGGGAATTATTCCCCTGTGGTGACTATGTAATTAAATTAAAGGTTTTTTTTTATTCAGGTACGATTCATTTCAAATTCTAGCTCTTCTGTGTTTTATGTACTAAAAGTCTCTGAACCTCGGTTTCTTACATGTAAAAGCAGGTTAGTATTACTTAGCACAAAGAGCTTATTTGATGACAAAAGATAACATACATACTGTGTGTATCTCATGCGCCTAAATAAATGTATAGAATACTGTTATGGCTTGTGTCTAGATTCCCCTACAAAGTCTCATGTAGTCATAGGCTTTTTCAGAGATGACTGACTCTAGAGGGTATAATGCTGGGATTAAGGGTATGTGATTACTGAATTGGTCTGCTGATTGGTTTGGCACCACCCAAATCTCAGCAATCTGATAAGATAAAAGGGACAGAGAGAAGCTTGTCCTCTGTTGTTTCTTTTTCTGTTTTGTTCCCGCCATGAACTGTTCTCCTCTGCAAAGCCACTCTGCCCGGGAACCAGCTAATTATGGACTGAAACTCCTATAAACAGGAGCTAAATAAACCTTTCCTCCTTTAAATTTGGTGTCTAGTCTTTTGTTCCAGCAATGAGAAAAGTAACTAAAACAAATACCATGGCACCCTGTGTATAATGCATACACTCCACTGTGCCCTTCAATGAGCAAACATTCATTTCAATGAATGTTCATGATTGTTTAACTTTTGTGTTGATGACAATACATCCTAAAGCTCAATTTCCAATATAACCCTTAGCACAAAGAGGAATTTCTGTACTGTTAAAGATCACCATTGCCCTGGGGACATCGTGGCAAATTTTTAGAAGAGGTGCATTGTGGGAGTGTACAATGCTCATATTTATTTTTTAGAGGTATTTCTACCGATGGATTTTTAATTTTGTAGTTTTATTATATTAAACAATGTATACTTAATGGGAAAATAAAATAGCAACAATGTAAAATATTAAAATTTTAATATGCAATGGGTGTAGAATAAGCATCAACATTTTCAGTATCAACTGTTTACCTGCTTACACAATCTAAAAAGCAACACCACAGATAAATTCCCGTGTGAACCACAATGAAAATACAAATAAAATTCTACTGCAGAAATAATCTTTGCTTTAGGTATCTCACCTAGAGCATGGCAGCATGCTTCTTCACACATGACAACAGCATGTTCCATAAACAAGTCTCACACTGACAGCACGTGTCTGGCTTTCCTTTTCTGTTTGGCAGGTCATACTTGTCACCTCCCGAGTCTTCTTCTTTTGTCAGAAACTTCCTATTTACCATTATACAGTGTCCACTTAGAAGGAAAATGAAATATCAATAAAATATCAAATATATAGAGTGTCTAGTAAAAATATCAATATTTTCTATATCAACTGTTTGCTTACTAAATGTAAAAACTAGCAGCAGAAATAAACTTCTGTGTGAATAACAATGAAAATACAAATAAAACTCTACCACAGAAACAATCTTTACTTCAACTATCAGACCTAAGACAGTTTTCACACATGAGCGCGGCACGTTCTATAACAACTTACACTGATAGCAGGTACGTTTTGTTTTCCTGTCTTCCTTGGTGGAACACATTTGGCATGGTCTTGCTGGTCTTCCTGTTTTCTTGGGAGGTTCTTGTGCTGTTGCACCTGTCTGTTCACTAATCTGCTCCAGAATTCTTTTGAGAACTTCTTTGGGCAGATACATACTGTTCTTCCTCTGTTGTATTTGATCATGTATCAGTTCCAGTCCCAAACCTCTAGGAAAATTTCCCCATGCTATTTTTGTGCTTATTATATTCTTCATAAACTATGCAGCTATGCCTGATACGTTTAGCGTTCAGTAAAATGCAGCCATTGGCCAATGCTTTGTGTTCCAAGTGAAATCTCTATTGCTGCATAATGCATTAACAGCATCCACTCTTTTTATTGTTGCAAAATGTGACAATTTGTGGCTTCATTTGTGTGGAAGATTCACTATATATTTGCTTGTCTCTCTGTCTGTTTGTTTATTTTGAGTCAAATTCTTGTTATGTCTTGTTACATAATCCAGTCTCACCTTGAATTCACTATGTAGAACAGGCTGACTTTGAATTCACAGGCTTCTCCTGCCTCAGTCGCCCAAGTGCTAGAATTACAGGCATTAACCACCACATATAGTCTCACTGTCAATCTTATCATGACGTAATGTTGACAGTATCAATGCTATGGTTTTCTGCATCATAGAGGAGGCTAATGTTATGTCTTTCTGAAATCCACAGTTTGTACTATACATTTCTGTATTGTGCACTTCCTACATCTTTTTCCAGAGTCTCAGCTTTGTTCTTCAATATAGTTTCTGTGCTGGTCAATTGGTATTCTTGTAGCAAATGTAACATCATTGGGTAACTACTGAACCAATTGTCAAATGTGACACTTGGGGTGCTTTTTTTTTTTTTACCAGTACCAGGGATCGAACTCATGACTGCCTGCTTACAAGGCAAGCACTTATGCCACTGAGCTAAATCCCCAGCCCCACTTGGGCTGCTTTTTTAAATACTATTCACAAAGTCATATGAAGAAGGACTCGGTGGCTGAGATTGAGAATAAATTTTTAAATTCAAAATATAAAATGTCTTTGCATCTACAAGGGCATATATTGTTATACCATATTTAGAAGATTTCCTGGGTTTGTTGCCGAAAGCATCAAAAACCCCAAAATGATACAAATTGTTCATCAATTGTCAAGTAGTCTACAGTGTGTAAATTGCATGAAAGTTCAAACAGAGCTTTCAACAAATGAGTGAAGAATAGCCAAATTGTTGTTTTTCTAACATCTTGTAGCATATTGTTCATTGAAAACAATTTCAATAGTAAATCACAGTGTTGGTATTCTGTCCAGCAATTTGCATCCTTGGAAAGAACCTATATGTTAGACCTATGTTCTGACCTAGTTCTAACTTTGGAGTGTTTAGGTATATGTGACCATTTTGTAGCATTGTAACTAGTCAAATATTTATTTATATTACTGTTTTCTTCCTCATCTGAGTCAAGGTCTTCATTGTGTACTTCTCTATCTGCCATGCCTGTTCTATATTGCTAACTTCTTTGGCTTACATGATCCAGGTCATCATTGGTAGCCAAGTTATCTGATCATTCATTTTCTTTTTTGTTGTTGTGGTTGTTCGGGTTTTTTTGAGACAGGGTTTCACCATGTAATTAATGTTGGTCTTAAACTCATTATGTAACCCAGGCTGGCCTCAAACTCACCATGATACTCCTGCCTCAGTCTCCCAAGCCTGATGACTCACACCCAGCTTGATGACTCACTTTCAACCTCCTCCCAAAGTTGTAAAAGTGGATTTTTCATGTGCCACTGCACTTAATTGGCTAATTCTACAAGAAAAATCAAAAGAAAACATAACAAAAAAGTATTAATACACAAAATTTTAACGTGGTCCATAATATGGGTAAAATTTACTGATTTACACTCTGACACTTGCCATTCATCACACCAAGTGGGTGAACACACGGATTCTCCCACTGCAGCTACTGAGATGTACATCTGGCTACCATTATGCTAAAATACATATTTTCATTAGGAAAATATTATATGGGCATCTGAGACCCAGTGTAAGGAGTTGAGTTCATGCTTCAGTAACGGATAGCTCAGTAGTAAGCAGGTATCACTACAAAAGACAGTCTTGTGTCATTAATTGCATGCGTTGGGCTTTAACTAATACCAGGCTCTCATGACCCTCACAGAGAGTTACAGGCATTTGTGCCTACTCAAAGCAGGAATTCAAACCCAGCTCTAATGTCTGTACACTTATCCATCATCTTACTCCAGATTGTTTGCTTTCTTAAATATCAATTGTTGCATCTCACTAATCAAACAGAACACCCTGGGCATATAAAGTATTGGTTATACACTTTTATCAGCAATTTAAAAAGCAAGATTGATTCTTATATGCCCAGTACAAAGTCCAAATCTATTACACTTCCAAAAGACTTTTCAAATTCTTTGGTTGCACTTTGATGTGGTTAGGTTAGAGAAAGTGGCTTTCATTTTGAACCAGATTATTCTTTTCATATAATGTTTTCAGCAGCATTTTTGTCAGTAAAATCTTCATTTCACAAAAGTAAAGATAAAAAAGTAGCCCCTTCTATTTGAAGAAATGAAGACCTTTCTAAAGAATGACATATTTAGATAAATTCTATTAACATGTTCCATTTAAATATTCTTTGTAAGATATAAAACACTCTTGCAAAAGGTGAGAAACAAGAGTTGGCTATATGTATAAACTCTTCTAAGACAGAAAAATCAGCCTTAAATGAATAATTGGCATTCCAAAGTCACCCATTCTAAAGTCGTAAAAACACAACTGGGACCTAAATTCTTTAAATAAAGGTCCAGGTTTCCAGAAGGAAAACAAGTGATATGGCATTTTCCAAGAATGTTAATTAAAATCGAAAACACCACTGGAGATGCATGGTGCCACAAAAACATACATTATAGTTGGAATTTGTCATTATCCACTTTACATCCTTTGTTATCATTATATAATTACAGAATTAAAGTATCATGCCAATTTTATTAAAAAGTTAAACGAAATTTGACTTGTCCAGAGAATGATAAAGATAGATAATAGACTTATATGCAGATGCAGAAACATATTCTGTTATGTAACAATTAATATTTTAAATAATTTCTTAGCTCACTATTAGAATGATGTTGTAATATCAACCATAGCGCATTATTAAAGAGCTTTGGCTTTAGTCAATCATGGACTGTTAAGGAAATATTAAATTAGATTCTCATTTCCCATTTTTGGAAAGAAAAGAATTAGGTAATATGAATGTGAGCTTTTTACATACATAAAAAGTTAAGAGAATTACATTGAGTAATGGAATATTGCATTTAAAAATTTACACACTTCAACTAGAAATGCATTAGACATGCTGCTATGCTTAAATGCACAAAAGGGATTTAAATGATGATTAATTCATCACCTGTTGACAACATTTTGTACATAACATTAGAAGAGAAATATTTTCATGAAATGGCCAAGTTCTAATAAATATGCCAAATGTGCCTGTCAATGAAAGTCAGTAATGTTACTGAGTCCCTTATAACACCATGAATCCAATCTACTCTAAGTAACCTGAGTGCTAAGGAGAAGGATAATAGGAACACACTGACAGAAAAAACGGCAGCCGACATCAGGAGAGAGAATCCAGGTCTAAAGACACAGGCACACACATGGTTTGCCTCATCATTTGGCTTTCTTGAAGCTGCAATCAATTTTAAAGAGGAAGTCACCAAATATTTATTTGAGTGTTCCTGGATAGAGACCTAAAATTCTTAAGCTTTATCACAGGCTCAGATATGGGACTAGGGGTAGAATTTGTTTTATTTTGGGGGTGGTTTTTTGTTTGTTTCAGTTAGAAGTAATTATTTTCATTCAAGAGAATACTTACGTTTTGAAAAAAAGATTTAATTTCAAAATTATATATTTGAAAGCATAGATAATTATTAGCTTTTCAAATACATCTACTGAGAATAAGTACATTTGGCTCCTGGCCTATTTTTCTTTTTTAAAAATTTTACAATGATACTATACAATGATAACCATTACATGACCAAGTATACTAAGAACAAATATCACTGTTAAATAGAGTTCCAAAAAAACTAACACAAGGAAAATAGGCAAAATAAATGATTGCTTTCATGTGAGCAGCCTACAGGATTACGCTCGTTACATTTTCTTTTAATTACTCAACTGGAATTCAGAGACAGCCTTAGAAAAAAGCATTAGAAGAAAGTAAGAACAAAAATATCTCTATCCTCTGCACTATCTGCTAAGGTTCATCTGGATGCTTTGAAAACAAAAAATTTTTTACCAGCATCCTTACCAACAAGATAAGAATAATTAATGTTTTACGATGATGATCCCAAAATGCTATGAGATTCTGCAGAATTTTATAAATATTAAATCAAGAGTAAATTATCACAGGTATCATTTCAGCATTAATTGTGATTTGAAAATTGCATGAATAGCATATTCATTTAATGTTGTCCTCAAGCAATGGGTTCATCAAGCCCAGAGTGTGGACTGCTCAGAAGCTGGAGCTGGAGCTGGCAAGTGGTTGTGGATGGATCTGATTTAGAATCCCAGCTCTGCTTCTAATTAGCTGTGTGCCTTTGAGCAGATGGTTACGTTGGCTTCCTCATCTGACAATAGAGATTGCATAAATCCCTAACGCACAGGGTTGTCCTTGAAGTATATATCATGTTACATGATATATACTCCAAGAAAACAACTAATAAACCTATATTATTTTACATTTACACATTTGTGATGAGAAAACATCTAATCATGTACGTATGTAGATAGGGCAAAGCTAACCAAAAATATCCTCAAAAGGGCTCAACACAAGCAGGTCACTCTGTTTTGGTTTTTTTGTTTTGTTTTGTTTAAAAAAAATAAAAAATAACAATAAAATAGAGTTTCAAAACAGGCTATTAGAAGAGTAACAATAATCAATACATTGTATATTGTTACATTCACAGTAGTTGTTCAGAGTGCAAGACACAGGCATGAAATGTTGACCAAAAGAAAAAAAATACAAAAATACTAGTACAAAACTTTCCTCTCAATGAATCAAGAGAAACCAGCATGTAACTATCTTAACTATCTTGGCGATATAGATAGATAGACAGATTAGATACATAGATAGATAGATAGATAGATAGATAGATAGATAGATAGATAGATATAGATAGATATAGATAGATGTAGATATAGATATATGCATTTTCCACTTTCCCCTCCCTTTCTTTTCCCTTTCACTCATCACAGTTCTTTTCTCTTTTGAAGAGTTTCTTCCCTATTTACAATATCTATTATACATTTTGGATCTTGTTTACTCTTTCAGATTCTCACACTAGTGAGACAACATGTTTACACGTGTAGCTCTGATTTATTTTACTTATGAGTACAGTCTTGAATTGCATCCATTTACCTATAAAAGTCTGAGTTTATCTTTACCCCATCCAAAAATAAAATGCTCAGCCTCAATTCTAAGGTGCTTAAAATGCAATTTTTACTCTGAACAAAAGGATACATTTCTCTCTTGATGCAGAAGGAAACAAGGCACTCTATATAAACAAGTGCTTTGTTTTTAGAAAGAAAGGGAAAGGAAATAACTTCCCTCTATGTTCCTAGCATAGCCAAGGAGAATGCACGTTTGGAAGTAATGCATGTGGCTATCTGGAAAAGCAGGTCAGGGCTATGGATCCCATCAGCCCTCGCTCACGCACAGCCCAGCCGCTTCAGGCTGCTAAGTGAACAGAAACGTGGGACCCACTAGCACTGTAGCTTTTCACTAGCTTGTTTATTTACCTATCAAGAACCATAAGGACCTTTACTGCATAAAATGCCAAGTGTGGTGGTAATTGACATCAAACGATCCATGTCTACCAACAAATAAAAGACTAAAGTAATAAACATAGAGAGATGAGTGTTTAATGACCTTCAACAAATTTTTATTGTAAGATCCATAACAGTTAACTATATACACTGACATCTCTGGCCTGGAGCAGTCTCTGTTTTCAAAGTCAGAGGAAGAAGCTCCAATATTTCCTTGCTGCAGTGGTTCATAAACTTTGGATTGAGCATGTCAGCCTGGCACAGACTTGCCAAAATTGCCAGGCTGCTGAAGTTCCCATAAAATTAGAGTTTCTCCGCCTTGAGTATTCAGTTTCCCAAATACGCATATGCACAGTCCTCTAACTCCTTCCATAACTGGATGACATGCTTCACTCAGCAGCTAGTTTTAAACATTTCTTCCCCAAACCAATACACAGAGATGATGCATAATAAATGCCACTGTATGAGGTGCTCTTGGATTATAATAAGACACAGACTTCAACTTCGTCCTACAAACATCTGGTCATGGCCTGAATGGAAAGGTCATTTTGTAAGTGTTAAGAGACAACTTCAGAATGTTTCCTTGTATATAGATTTTTATTCATAAATAGAACAAAAAGACCGGAAAAAGTATGAATTGCTCCTCTTAGAAAACATCGTAATCACTCCAGCACAAAGCTAGAAAAAGAAAACAGAGACATTGATTCCCCTTAGGATCACTGCAAAGATTTCTTTAGATGCCATAAGGTTTCATTCAGGTCCTTGGTCTTTATGCTAGGGTTTAATATTATGGCTGGATTCATGACATTTCACAGGGGACAGGGAAGTGGCTTTGAGAACTCATCAGCCCTATAGGTTCATAAGGATTCTAAAGTTGGAAGAAGCTGCTTTTCCCTCACCTCATAATGGCCAACAGATCTCTGCCCTGAGACAAGACCCTGAGACAGACCTAGGAGAACACTTTCAGTCCCCTAGGAGGTGAGGGTTCTGCAGAAATCATTTACTTCCTATCTTTTGGGAGGGATCAAGGGTAATCATGCTAAAGCACCTAGTAACTGATCAATAAATGTTCAGTAAATTCAAGTCTGTAATAGGTGCATGGGAGACCAAACAATAAAATGGAAATGTTTTTCTTTGTGGTTTCTATGGTATTACATTTATATGTTAGTATTTAAAAAAAAAAAAGACTTTCAGAGATTATGAATCAATTGACAATGGGAATGAAGACTAATCAAGGAGATCAGTTTAGAAGAGGAGATGAAGCTTCTCTGTATCATCAGCTCTTCAGGGTCACTTTTAAAATAACATAGGCTTTTATTTAGGCTTAAGCATGATCTATATCTTGTGGTTCTTAACTTCTGTACTTCATGGAAGGCTTTTTCTAGAATTTGGGTAAAGCTGAGTGTAGCCACTCACAGTCTATTCTTTCGCCTGCTGTGAGCAACATACTTCTCTGGGAAATGCTCCTTGAAATATGTGCTTCACAAGCTGTGGCCATGTTCCAAAAGACCACTCGGCACAGGTACAGGACCACGCCCTGAACCAGTTCTGGGCCAACTCTGCAGCAAATCCCTGTGGCCACATAGCTGGGTGGCCATGTGGAATGGTCCAGGGAAGGTCCTTGACCCACAGGTCTGGGCAAGTTATACTTTATTTATACTTTGAGATAACAGAGCACATCTTAGTGCCTGGGTGCTTCCTTCACAATAAAATCAAAGATGGGAGTCTGGTGGCTGGTGGCTGTTTTGTGTTAACCATGTCAATGAACTGGTCTGTAGCCCGAAAGGACAATGCCCATGTGAAGGAAGAAGTAGGGCAGGATGAGAATAGAAAGGGAAGGGGCCGAGAGAAAGTGACGATAGGGTAGCATTCAAGGAGGAAGTCTAGATCCTCACCTCACTTTACCTAGAAGAAAGTTCCAGAACAATTAAAGAGGGCCCTGGTTACAGTGGCCGTCCTTCTTGTAATTTGGTTGTATTAACTGTCCGTCATTTGGACACACAAACTCAAGCATAGACAAGTACAGTGAAATAATTAGGAAGAGATAAGCCATTTTATAGATTTACTATGTTTGTTCTTAGTCTAATTTATTAAATTTAAAACATACATAATTTTTAATGATAGCTCTGTTTAACAACAACTTGAAATATTTCTGAAAACTTTACCAGCAGGTCTTTATGAGCTGGGTGGTAGGCGAACTTTCATGAAACCTGGCATATTTTTTATACGAAAGCCTACATTCTTACATAGACACATCTATCAAAACTTTGCTTTAAACTTTTGATATTATTTAAGGAAAACTTCCCCCATTAGAAGATTATAAAATATGTATATTTTCTTCTACTTTCAAATAACTTCTACTTTCAAATTATTGACATCTTTTATTCTTCTGAAAATGTTTTCTAGGTAAAGTGAGATAAGGATCTAAACTTCCTTCCTGAATGTCACCCTATCATCACTTGTATTTTGGATAAACCATCCTTCCATTTTCCATTCAGGATGTATAAGTTCTGGTGAATACCTGAATTTGTTCTGTGAGTTTCTATTTTTTTCCAGTGATTCATTTATATTTTTTATGGCCAGTATCACACTATCATAACTAGTGACTCTAAAATTTTTTTTTACATTTTTATCTCCAGAGCACTATACCTTTAAATTCTTTCCAGACTATTTGTATTATTCCAGATGAATTACATAATCATTTTTCAGATTTCCAAAACAATTCATTAGAATTTTGATTGTCTTTGCATTAGATTTTTTTTTTTTTTACTTCCTCGGGATTTTAAATCTTCCAATCCAAGAATGTAGTATTTTGTATCTGTATCTAAATTCTTATGTATTCCTTTATTCAAGCCCTCTTTTATTTACTATGTTAAATTTTATATATTTCTTTTACTTTAGGTCTTGTACTTTTCTTATTATTTCTACAAATATTCTATTTTGCTGTTATTGTTAATAAAATTTTTCATTCCATTTAATCAGAAAACATTAGTTTAAAATATGTTGAAAAAGAAGGCAATTTTTAAAATTTTGGTTATAAACTTAAAGTTACCCATTTTTCTGGTTCTATTAGTGATTCTACCAGTCTTTTATTTTATTCTTATCTGCAAAGAAAAATTTTTTATTTTGTTTCCACTGCTTTATCTTTTATATCCTTTCCTGTTCGATTACATTTGGCTAGGTTTGCCAAAGCAGAATGGATAATGATAAAAACAGACATACATGCCTTCATTTAATGTAGATTTCTCTAGTCTCTATCTTCAGATAGATACAGTACTTTTTCTTATTTAAAGCAGATATGGTGATGCACATCTGTAATCTCAGCATGCTGGGAGACTGAGGCAGGAAAATCACAAGGTCAAGCCCAGCCTGGGCAACGTGGGAAGACTCTAAAGTTAAGAAGCTTTAAATTTATTTACTTTAAATTTATATGATTGTCATTGTACCTTAAGAGATTTTGTTGAGATTGAAGACTGATTTTTGCCAAATGTTTTTCTGCCTTATAAGAAGATTCATGAATTTTTAAATCCTATTTGTATGTTTTCTAAAATTAATGTATAATCCCTTTGTCCAATTAACAAGAAATTGGTCAAACTTGTGTTCTAGAATACCTTAAATTCCTCTTTTAACTCATAATTTAATTGTAGCATGATAATTTTACATAACAGCCACAAACTATATTGATTACGAATTGACTGGAAAATGAAAGTCACCAATCTCTGTCATTTGAAATTGAAATTTATATGACTATTTTGTCCTCCTTTAAAAAAAAAGAAAGTAAACCAAAGGCCCAAATTAGCTCAGAAATGATGAAATTTGCCAAAGTCAGAAGTCTCAATTCATGGGAGAAAGCAGTTACTGGCTTCTAAGTACATTTTTGCACACCCTGATTTGATAAATGTTAAAATGAATGTATAAAAATGGTAAGAAAGCTGGCTTCATCCAACAACTGTTCCAATATATGAACATGCTGAGCAGGCTGATATCGGAAAAAACAGACCTACTGTGAGACTCTTAGGAGACAACAACACTGTGGTTAACCAAGTGTAACGAGGTGAAGAACTTCATTACTGACCACGTCCTGTGGCACAGACCAAGTCCACCATATCCATCTTAAAAATGTGCTAACAGCTTCTTTTGTACTCTGTACTGGTTTTTGTACTGGTTTTTCCTTGCTCCTGCTGTGCTTTTGACATAAAATCTGAGCCTAGAGGGGGACCAGTATCCTCCTTCTCCTCTATCAGCCCCATTCGTTCAGGTAGAACTGGATTTAACTCAAAATCTGCAAAGACATATGGCAGCCTTGCCACTGGATGACAACTTCAGAGTTCTCACGGTCAAGGAACGCCCCTTCCCAAACTCTGCCCTCAATTCTTCACATGCTCTTTGTCTTACTAAAACCTTTTTAAATATTCTTGTCAAAATTCTTCCCTAAAAGTTCTTATCCTTTCAGGTAGCTTCCCTTATTATGCATGAAGCTATCTGAGAAACAGGTACATAAAACCTAAGTCTCCCAGCTTTCATTCTCAGCAAAGCTTTATTGAGCATCTACTATGAACTAAGTACCAAGGCAGATACAAGAGGAGAATGGGAAGGAGACAATAAAAACACTTTTAAAATAAAGAGGGATCGGATCTAGGTTCTTCCTTGAGAACTTGTGGGTTACCTGAGAAGCCAACACTAGAGATACAAAATTATTACTTACAGGTATTTTCCATGGCATGTGACTTCCAAATGAGACTCTCACTTATGAGAAAATGTTATCTGCAAACACAATACAAAACATTTCATGCTAGTTGATGTTTATATAGATTATTTTTTTAAAAAGTGATTTATACATGTTCTCTTATTATCTATGTATTTCCTTGCCCGCCAGGAACCCAGCTGCCCTACATACACACACACACACACACACACACACACACACACACACACACACACACAGCCTTTTATTGACTTCAAAAGGAGCATGGTGCATGAAAGGGAAGACCCGTGAGACCAAAATGGACACAGGCTGCCATTAATCTCATAACATCACTCTGAGCCAGGAAGGCAGGAAGTGCTGGTATAACCTTTCAAAAACAAAAGAATGGGACATTAAGGTTAATCAACGTTTCCCAAGTCACAGTGGTCCCTAGGAGTTGACCGTGGTGGTGAAGTACGCCAGCTCTGAAGTCAGAGCTCAGAACTGGAATGCTGGTCCCAGCTCTTCTCTCCAGTGCAACCTCAATCAACCTCAATCACTGAGTCTCTCAGTGGTGTCTTCACTGAAAGATGGGAATGACAATAATGCCTACTATGTAAGGTTGTTTTGACGATGGAGTCGATACATGGAAAATACTAGAATACTGCTTATCATCTATAAATTTTTCAGTATCTATAAATATTGTTGAAGTGCCAATAGTGAACATTAGCTCCCAGCCTTCTGCATAAATATTAGATCAGAGCCAGTCCAGCAAATGAAGCCTTAAAGATTGAGGTAACAGCGAAGCTAACTCACTGAATTAGAAATACCAGAACCAGCACCAAGCTAGCTCAGCAGATCTCAGAAAAAGTCTCCTTTTTTGCTTTTCCTGTGATGTTCTTTTCATTATCCTGAGCATCCAAAACTAAAATTGGCTTCATCTGATATCACACATTTCTTTTGCTCTGTTTCTTCCTTATTTTACAGCTGATCACAGAGATGACAAAGGGCCTGAGAAGGTTCATTTTGCACCACCATGATTACCTGGCTATTTCCAAAGAAACACCACATGAAATGTTGATATCAAAAGAACATCTTATCCTTATGGCCAAGCAGTGAGAATTTTTCAGACTTAAATTATCCAGTCATTCTTTAATTCCAGGTAGTTTCATACGTGATAAATTATTATATGATTTTGATTACAAGCTATACTTCAAAAACACCAATACACAAAGCAAAACTGGGTATTAAAAAGCTCGATCTGTAAAAAATTGCTTCCCACTCTGAAGTCATCGTATGGGAATCTATATATTATCAATTTATTGCCATGCAATAGAAGCAAGAATAATTACAAAGCTCTGAAATATACCACCAGCAAGCATCCCGTTCAACCACCCAGCGAAGCCTTTGACTGGCTTCTACTAACTGGAGGCAAAGGCTAAAAAGCTCCCAGTGAAATTCTGAATTCAATCTCTAACTAAATTATCTCCTCTGCCCTCTTTACCTGCCTACACACAGGCACTGCTGTCCCCAAGCTGACAGACAGGATTGCAAACTAAACTCAGGTGTTTGCCTTAGAGTCATTAATGGCAGACTAGTCACCCAAAGTCACACAGATAGTTTTGACCTAGATTCATGGGTCTGTCCACTCTGAGAAACATTTAGAGAGCATTCTCCATTGCCACTACTTGGAAAGATGACTTAAGACACATACTCCTTTAATGATGGTGTTGGGCACCAGTGGTGGAAATGATATTGTCTATATTTTTAATTGCCTTTGAAATGCTTGCTGTCTTGTCTGGGAGCTGCCTGCCTCACCCTGCAGGGTGAGCCGTCAGTGGCTACATGGATATCGCAGCAGCTCCTTTCCAAACACAGAGCACACTGGCCTGGGTTGAGCTCGTCGTCTTCCCTCTCCTGGGAGTCTGCTGTCCGCCTCGCTAGTTCTGCAAAGAGTCTAAAGATGCCTGCACGGTGCGGTGGGAACTGGAAAGAGCAGGCAGGGGAACTGCATGTTTTCATTCCTTGTTCTGATAGTTGCCAGCCTTTCTATAGAAATCAATGCTCTGTGACTTGACACCCTACAATGCAATAGGAAAGTGACCTGTTGTCAGCTGTCTGTGTGAGGCACCAAGAACCTGTGTGGGCAGCCCTCTGGGGAGCAGGACGTGGCATGTTCACACGGGAGGACAGCACCCCAGCTGCGTGGAGAGTTGCTCCTTCCCTAAACCTGCTCTCTGCGCTGTGCCCATATAGGGAGCTCACACCCTCCAAACATTTATTTAGCAGTTTTCTTGCATATGATACATTGTTATTAACTATGCACACCATGTTGTGTAATAGATCTCCTGAATTTATTCCTGTATAATTGAAATTTCATATCTTTTGGCCAGCATATTACCCTCTGTTGTCTCTAGCCCTGGTAAGTACCATTCTACTCTTCTATTCCATGTGATGAGCCTTTTAAGATTCCATGTGTAGGTGACAACCTCTCTTCTCCAGGTTCATCCACGTCATCACAAAGAACAGGATTTCCTTCTTTTTTTAAGGCTGAAAAACATTCCATTGTGTATACAAGTTGCATTTTCTTTAATCATCATCTGTTGAAGCACCCTGACTATGTTTCCATACCTTGGCAGTTGTGAATAATGCTGTAATAGACGTGGGAGTGTGGAGATCTCTTTGACATACTGATTTCATTTCCTTTTGATATATACCCAAAGGGACTACTAAATCACATGGTAGTTCCATCTTTAACCTTCCACACTGACTCTAAATTGGCTGTACATTCCCATCAATAGTGTTCAGAATTTCTCCATATTTTCACAGATAGTCTTATCTTTCCTCTTTTTGATAGTAACTATCTAGAAAATGCAGTTTTAATTTGTATTGACCAATGATTGATGATGTCGAACATATTTTTATACATGCGTTGGCATCCAGGTATTCTCTTGCTCATAGAAAGTGATAAGATCATCTACTTTAAAAGATCACTTAAAAATACTTTCAGATATTATTACTTTAAAGAGCCTTTATATTTCTATAATGACAACTGCTGACAATTCATACTTCTAAACTCCCACCAGCCTTGACATGGCCTGTGAGCTCTGCCGCTTCCCCCGTCTCCTATACCGACATCCACTCTCCTCCAGCACAGACACCAACAGTCCAGATGAAAGCCCCAGAAGTGGTCTTGAGTAATCTCCTTTTAAACCATATTTGGATGTCTCAGAATCTAACAACAAGCAGACTGGTAGAAAGAAGGGCCTGTAGGAGTGGGAGGTGTTGCTTGGAGAGGGAGGCGATGGGAGGGGTGTGATCCGCAGCACAGGGGTACAGAGTGGGAACGAGACCAGAGATTGATTCCTGGGAAAGGGAAGATCTCAAGGATGGTGAAGAGTAAGTAGGAGTCAGAAAAGAAGAGGAAGAGCCAGAAGAAGCGTCAGTGAGGCCTAGGTGGGGAGAGAGCTCCTGAGAGGAGGGAGGCGGCTACGTGCCAGAGGCTGAAGGAAAACTGAGCATTGCAATTGGGACGGGGCAGTGGCTGAGAGACACTGGACACTGGTTTCTTATTCAGCTCTAAGTGGGCACATGTGACGGAAAGTACCGGCTGCCAGGATTCGCCCAAGGAGACAGCACCCAACCACGCAGAGGCCAGGGACTGCCTGGCTAACACTAGGCCCAAGGAGCCGCAGATACTGAGAAACATTACATCACTGTTATATTGAAAATAGTTAAAATCTGTTCATCAGTGTCACTCCTGCCTCCCCACCACGAAAATGCCACAGGTTAGGTGCTTCTTACTTTCAGAACAGCACAGCTAAGCCTAGTGGTGACAATGACACCAGCATATGCCACTGGAGATGCCCTGCCACAGGCACACTTCAAGCAGATTCACTCGTCTGTCCTCCACTTCGAAGAGAGATGGGATGACAGCAACAAGGACAACATGTTAGAGACTCCGTCAACAGTGAAATACGAGGTCTCTACAGATTCAACCCTTCTCCGTATCTTTTCTAGGCACCTAGATTCTCCTGAATGAGAAACTTGAAATATAAATAAATCGAAAAGTCTTAGGTAGATTAATAGGGAGACAGATCTTTTGCAAAGGGGAAGGGGCCTAAGAGATGGAGCAGGAGAAAGGGAAGGGAGAGGAAGGGAACGAAAAAGCATTAAGATGTGCTATGTACATGCACCTCCTCCCGTGAGGAATGTGATCATTATACACTGCAAACACATCTCGATAAAAAATATCTAAGCAGTGACAGCATTTTAAAAAGAACTGATGTTTTGGATAATAGCCCTGCAACCAACGGTCCACAATCCCTGAAGGAATACTTTAGCTCACGTTACTTGTTTAACAAAAGTTTTTTACTTTAAAGGGCTCTATTTCACTTAATCTTGACACAAATTTTATGATCTAGATATTACCTCATTAGAGTTAATCAAAGTCAAATGAAATAATCTTTGGTTAGAGTTCAACAACAGATCTATTTTTGCAATATTATAGATAAATTTGGTTCCCCCATGAGCTTCAGAAATCAAAAATTAAAACACTTATGAAGAAATTAGCCTAATGTGACTTAAAAGTTTTCCTCTCTATATTTTGTTCTTTTTATATAACTATTTTTAAGTTACTGAGATACAAAATAGAAGAAATTGGTTTGGAATGTTTTCATGTGTTCCCATTAGCTCAAAAACAATATATTTGATAGGATTTTAAATCTATAACATGGATACCATGCTCTTTTTGAAATATCTGTATCTTCTTAAGCACTTTGATACACAAATCTATTACTAGGGCTTAATCTGAAGGTGAGAGGATGTGTTCTTCATTCTCACATGAATTGATGAAACACAGTTGTTAAACCAGTAAATAGAGATGCCAAAATTATAACTCATTTCTCCTCATTTCTTTCCTTTTCTTTTTTATTCTATTTTACTATATTATTTTTTTATGCACTAGTCTCTTTAAACTTGCTAACAAAATTAAGATGAGTTACTCTAATATAACATGTTAATGAACAACTGACCCAAATGTGTATATGATTAGGCATTAGTTACTATATCCAGCTAGAATGTA